CTAACACGCAAACCATCCCCCCCAATGAAAAATATTTTTCTACGCCACTGGGCGTTATGTGGGGGTGAAATTGACGAAATGCAGGACTATGACTAGCTTTCATTCTTATTCTAATAAGCAGTAAACCATTTTTGTTTTCAAACTATAATTAGCTTTTTTTTAAATTATGATAAACCTTTTTTTTATTGATATATTAACTAGTGAACCCTTTTTTATATTATGAATTGCGAACCACTTTTTATTATAAATAGCGAACCTCTTTTTATAAAATATGAATAGCGAACATCTTTTTTTTTTTAATTATGAATAGCAACCTCTTTTTTTTTATTATGAATAGCGAACTTCGATTTTTATTATGAATAGCGAACCTCTTTTTAAAAATTATGAACAGCAAACCTTATGAATAATGGTCTTTTATTTATATTTCGAGTAGCGAACGCTTTTTCTTGATTATGATTAGCGAACTTTATGCCTTGTGGGCCTTTTAATAAATTATGATTAGTGACCCCTTTTCTTGATTATGACTAGGCAACCTTATGAAGAGCGGTCCTTATTTTTTTATGAATAGCGAACACTTTTCTTCATTATGAATAACGACCCTCTGGTATAGGGTAAGCTAATGTTATGGATAACGAACCTTAAGAATAATGAACCTTATGAAAAGCGCACCTTCTGACTAGCGAGCTTGACCCATCTGATAATAAATTTTAGAATGATTTTTTTAAATATGCGTTTGACATGTTATGACATTTTTTCATTTTCAGGCGAAATGTTCTTACATTAAACCGTTTTTTTACATTACACACATACAAGTCTCTAATTTATTGATTTTTTCTAGCGTTAGAAATGTTGTGTTCCTGGGTGGTCGTTGAGACAATAACAAGCAGACACACAGACTATCAACTATTATGTAACATAACATGTAGTTTATTCAGATATGGCAGTAGGTACCGTGGATCGGTTCCGTACGTGTACGTGCGTCTATATACACGACTGATTCACGTCACTAACATGACGTATCACAACATCCCCCTCCTTTCGAAAAGCTTTACAGTTAATTCGTTATCGCTTATATAGCAATTCAACAAGCTTTAAACTTTAAACAGGATGTGTTAATTAATGCTTTAAACGTTGTTTAACTGATGCCTATTCATAGTTCACATTGTTATACTTTTTAACTTCATAATCACTAATGTTATAAACATTACTATCATTCGTAAAAACATTGTGTCATATTGTAATTGTTAAAGTAATGAACTATTTTTCACTTCATAAACGTTAACTTCATTAACATTAATATCATTCATTAAAATTTATTTAACATCGTAAAACTTGAATGAGATTGCTGCACATTCTGGATATTCAATTACTACTTAATGACAATGTGTATATTTTTTTCGATCTATTTTGATTAAACATAAAATAATGACAAGTTTCAGTATATTATTTTTAATGGTTATATGAATTGTCTGTCGTTGTATTGTCTGTTCTCTGTTGTGATTATTGTGTTCATTGATTTGTTATTCGTCTCCGAAGCGTGTTGGTCGGCGGCTTATTCGACCGGATCTGGTAATTGTGTTATACGTCGATCTTGTGATTCTCGTGTTGGGATAGGCTGGGTTGTTGTAGTTATTATTTTTTGGTTTGGGTGGTTGTAGCTGTGTTGGATTTTCAGCAAAGTGCACGTGTGGGCGTACTGGTGTCGTATCATCGTCTTCATATTGTGTTCTTGTATTGTTTGGTTCTGGTGGTATGTCTCTTGTGTCGGTTAGGTTATCAGTAGGCCTACTGGTGGTGTATTCCTGGTGTTGGTTGTGATATCAGATTCTGGTACGTCTCTGATTTCGGATCTATTCCTCCTCCACGTTGATCCATTGTGTGTAGTAACCACGTATGACCTTGGTTTTTTGCAAACGTTTGTTATTTCTGCGGGGATCCAAATGTTGTCATCAGGGCGTCTGACTCGCACCTTTTGACCTCTGTGAAGTGGTTTTAGTTCAGCTCCAGCATGCTTGTCATGGTATTGTTTCATTTCCTGTTGTCTTGATATAAGCTTATCATGCACTTCTGTCCTTTGGTGGATTCTTGCCAAGTGATAACTTGGAAGCGTTGTTCTCACCGGTCGACCAAACATTATTTCTGCAGGTGATGGTAGGCCGGGGCCTATCGGGGTTGCACGGAGATGTAATAAGGCAACTTGTATGCTTTGCCTAGTTTGCATGCATTTCTTGATCAAGGATTTCAATGTTCTAACTGTGCGCTCTGCCAGTCTGTTTGAGCGGGGATATCTTGGAGAAGAGGGACTGTGTTTCACTCCCCAGTTTTTGCACATTTGAAGGGTTGGCCGCTATACTGTGGACCATTGTCCGAAACGATTTCTGCCGGTGCTCCAAAAAGGCTCATTGTTCCGGTCACAATACGTGCAATAGTGGTGCTTAACGTATTGTTAAACTTATGGACAATAAGATATTTGGAACAGTATTCCGTTATTACTATGTAGACATCTTTACCAATTGAGAACAAATCAATAGAGAGCTTGGTCCTGGGCGTTGTTGGGATGTCGTATGGCTCCAATAGTTCTCTGTGCTGTAGAGGCTGGTGTTCCTGACATGGCTGGCACAACTTTATTGCTCTTTCGATGTCTTTATCGATTTCTGGCCAATATTTCTCTGGCAAGCCTTTTGCTTCGTTCAATCCCCATGTGTCCTTGGTGCAATTGTTTTAGGATGTTTGGAGATTCTTTGGGATTATTAATTGTATGCCCTTGAACATTACTCCATTGCGGATCCCTATCTCGTCTC